TACCTGCATGGCTCCTTGCTTGCTCCCCCCTGATGTTTAAGATTACTAGAAATATATTTTCTGCAAATCTGCCCAGTTTGCAAATTTCAGCTTTTTGTCACGCAGAATTTCCTGGGCATAACATTTTGAGGCCTTTTTAACTCTGCTTACTGTAGATGCTGAAAAAAAGGAACAGAGAAGGCCCTCTTGCGTTTCTGTTATGCTGCCAACCTTGACAGTTAATATGTCATTTAATGCCATTACAGTGTTATTTGCAAAGTGTATATACTGCTTTTCAACACAAGTGTACTCCAAGCAGTTTGCATAAAAAGGCAGAAAATAAAAGTCAGAATTCAAAAGGAACTGAGCGCATTCTTATTGAATGCCCCTGAGTTGCTGGCTGATGGAGGGATGCCTCCCTGGCAGCTGCCTCACTCTCTCTCTCTCTGACGCCTCTTGTGCCCTCTGGTAGCTTCAGCAGCAGCAGACGGAGGGAAAAGGGTCTTCAGAGGCCTCTGAAGAAGAGCAGAGATGAGAAATTTTCATCACCAGCTCCTTTTCACTTGAGCAACTGTGGGAAAGCACAGGGTTGGATCTCCTGGAAAATTTCCCTGTGCTGAGGAGTCCTTGCTGAAGCACTATAAAATTATTCCTCACTGTCTGCTTGCACTAAGGAAAAAGGGTTGTGACTCCACTTACCTTTTCAAAACCAAGTTAAAGTATGTGTTGTACATTCTATTGCTCCATACGTAGACTGTTAGTTCTTTCATAGGTATATCCGAGCACTATGTGGTGCTGTGGCTGTACTGCTTGCAGAAGCAGAACTGCACTTCATACGTTTTCTTCTCTGCTCACGTAACCCTGGATCCCCACCCAGTATCTATTACTGCTGAGCTGAAAGCTGCTGCTTGGAATATAAATCCTGGCAGTACATCTAATGCAGGAAAATGACAGCCTTGGTTGCTTCTGGGAAGAGATATGGAAGGGGAACAGTGCCCAGTTGGCCGTAAAGAAGATGGGTTGCAAAGATGCCGTCTTTTCCGGGTTCATTAGAGTTCTTTAATAATTCAGACAAAAATGTATGTCGTGTAGAGAAAGCTGTGCATCATGCTGCATCGAAGATGATTATCCCATACATTTTTATGCTGCCCTTCCTCCGGAGAGCTCCCTACTTCCTTCTCACAACAATCCTGTGAGGTAGGTTAGGCTGAGAGGGGTAGATAAAGGTTACCCAGTGAACTTAATGACAGAGAGGTGATGTGAATGCTGGTCTCTCAGATCCTAGTTGAACATTCTAACCACTACTATACTACAGTGCCTCTAAACTGAGCATCTGTTGCACATGTTTCTCCCACACCACCCCTTCATGAGAAGTGTATAGAATTCCAAAGTATGGCCAAATGTTTCCCAAAAATGCTTAAATAGGTAATTCTGGTTTTTTTTCTCCAGAGCTCTTTGCTACCTGAATCTGAAGCAGTACAAGCAAGCAATCCAGGATTGTTCAGAAGCCCTTAAATTAGATGCTAAAAATGTCAAGGCGTTTTACAGACGAGCACAAGCATATAAAGAGCTCAAGGTACGGAACCTCCTGCTCGCTTTGGAGTGTATTTCGGGGAATACCGTGATGTGCTGCTTATTTATTTTATTTTTTTAAAGCAACAATTTTTTCTTACTGTGCAGAGTGTTCTATAATACATGCACTTTCTCCAAGCTGTATGAGAGAGACAGCACTCCCCTTCTAGACAAGTGTGAAAACCTGCAGCATGGTGAAGTCCACTGGGGAGTTCCTGCCTGAACAAGGATTTTACCCTGGTTGTGTAATCTGGGAGGGGCAGAGCCCACCCCCCCCACCCCCGTTATAACAGCTTATGCCAGTTCACCTTTTCCTCTGTTCTTTATTGCAGCAACAGTTTATCCATATTTTTGTTCTTTCCGCCCTTCCTCCAAGGAGGTCAGATAACTAACATGGCATCTTCTTCATTTTTTTAAATCCACACAACAACCCTGTGAGGCAGGTTAGACCTTTTGACTGGCTGAAGATCTCTCAGTAAGCTACATGGCAGATCAGGGATTTGGATCTGGGTCTCCCTGGGTTCTAGTCCAACAATAGCCCATATACCCTGACAGTAGCTCCTCCTGCCGAGCAAATAAGGAAATAACTATTGTTTATTCAAAGCACATTAGAAGAGGCTGCTATGGATCACCTTAGCCTCTTGCAATAAAGCAGAAGACTGTTTCTGTACATCCAGTAGCTTAGTAGCAGCAAGAGACAGTGAAGTTTCCTTCAACCAAAAGATATTCCATTCGGTCTTTTTGTAGCTGTGAAGAGCTCCCACTTTTTTGCTTTCCCCAAGAATTCTTTGACTTTGTTTCTCACCAACGAGCCATCCAAAAGCTCTAGCTCGGGGGTGCCAAACAGCCGGCTCATGGGCCAGATCCGGCTCCCCCAGGGCTCATATCTGGCACACAAGCAATTGGCTGTCTTATCTGTTTCCTGCGTCCTCATGTGTCTAAGGTTGCTTTGCCATGCTCTCTCAATCACACAGCAGCTACAGAGCAAGGCCAAGGCTCCTCCCCCTTGGGAAGGGAAGAGGGAGGGGAAAGAATACGAGCTTGCTTTGCCAGGTTCTCTCAATCGAACAGCAGAACAACAGAGCAGAGTTTCTCTTCCCACCATTGGCTGAGGCTTCTTCCTCTCCTCATCCCCTGGGCTTGCTTTGCCAAGTTCCCTTAATTGCATGGGAGAGGTAGAAAGTACCTTTAAAACCAACGAAGTTTTATTCAAGGTATGAGCTTTTTGCCTTTCTACACAGAGAGAGAGTGTGTGTGTGCGTTTTGTTGGGCTCGTTATTCCAGAGCTCTCCTGGCTGCAACTGGTCTCCTCCTCTATTCATGCCCTGATGATCCAGTCTTTCTCAATACAAAAGCATGTGAACTATTTAGATGAGGAACAACAAGCCAGTGAGGTGCATTAGGTGGAGTGTGTGTATTCAGACCAAGTTCACCCGGCACATTTCCTTTGTAGACTGGGGTTTTGAACTTAGACTTCTCAAATAGTAGGCTGATACGGGCACACTATACACTGCTGTCTCCCTAATCTTGCACTGCCTTACAGGGGTTGTAGATATTTCTCTGGAGAAGACTATAGTTTTGTAGACAAACACATAGCCCTCAGTCGGTGTCATGGTGCCTTCACATGTTCTTGACCAGCACACAAAGCAGTTTATGTACAAAAGCTCACAATGCCCAGCCCTTTCATGTTTTCAACTGGGTCCTAGGCTCAAAGCATTGACCATGAGATTTCTGTAATGAATGTCAATAAATAAATACCTGAACAGCATACTTTAGATTGCTACAGCACAGACATTGTCTCCAGATTTTGATGCAACAATTCAGAGCAAGAGGTGTCAGTTATCAGATAATATTGCAAGAATGCTAATGTTTTAAGCATGTTTTATTTTAAATTTTAAAGAATTTTTAATTGTGTTTGTCTGTGTCCTTTATATAGTTGATATCTCTGCTAGCTGGCATTACATTTTATGGTCCGGCCCGACAAGGTCTCATATGTCTGATCCAGCCCTCATATCAAATGAGTTTTGACACTCCTGCTGTTGTTCAGTCGCACAGTCGAGTCCGACTCTTTGCGACCCCATGGACCAGCTCCCTCCAGGCCCTCCGGTCTTCCGCCATCCTCTGAAGTTTGCTCAACTTCATGTTCGTTGCATCGATGACACTGTCTAACCATCTCATCCTTTGCCGTCCCCGTCTTCTTTGACCTTCAGTCTTTCCCAGCATCAGGGTCTTCTCCAGTGTAGCTAACTCCTGCTGTAGCTAATGCAAATTCTTGTCCAACTCCTTACCATGGTCTCAAGTACCTACACTAATTGTTTAAAATTATTTCCAGGACTACAAATCCAGCATGGCGGATATCAATACTCTCTTGAAAATTGAACCAGTGAACACTGCTGCTCAGAAACTACAGCAAGAATTGAGCAAACTTTTAAAATAGGAGTGCCTCAAGAATAACATTGTGCTCTTCTGAAGATGACACTTTTGTTTCCTGTAAAAACTGACGTTGGGACCAGGCTGAAGGCAGGGCCTGGTAGGAAATCCTGCCTTCCAGACCTGCTGCCACCACTCGGGTTTCATCCTGCATATTTTTGAAAAAGTTATTCAGTCTTTTTATCAAGCCTTCAGAAAGTTCAGAGTAACATCTGAGGTTCTTAACTTCCTAGCACAGTTACTGGTTTTTAGGAACTGAAAAAAGATCTCTGTAGCAGATGGGGCAGAACAGCACTTGTCAAAATGTTGAATTTCTGAGATGTGTTTACAGAGAGAAAAAAGAACTAAGTATGTTCTCAACTGATGTGGTCTACTGATACACCTGGGTAACAACTAGTGTAAACAAAAGACTTTGGGTTAATGCAGCAGGAGAGGGAAATGAGAGCCTCAAAAGTTGTGCATGCTTTGCCTTAACTTGTGTGCACTGGGCTACACTGACTGCAGCATTTGGTCCCCAAAGCATCATTTAGGAATTTCAAAGTTGCTCTCCCCCCCCCCCCCCCTTACCAAAGAGCGCAGTAAATCTTGGCTTTCTTTATCTTTTGCTGTTAAGAGTTTTTGTTAGCTTCAGCTTCCTTAAGGTTAAATGCCTGCTATGTGTTTTGTACATGCAGATGCACACTATTGTACAAGGCCACTCTTTATTTCTCATATCCTTGCCATGTAATGGACAAAAAACTATGTAGAACAGCACGGACACTTTCCTTATCACAAGTCTGGACCTGTAGCTTCTATTAATGCTCACAAATAACCTGAGTTACTAAAATTGGGCATTTACCATTTCAGACTATGGGTAAGAGGAGCGTGACTCAATGCTCCTTTAATAAAAGTTCCATTATTTTGGAGGCATTCAGCCCCTCCAGCAGTCGGGATTGGTACAGCAGGCTGCATCATCTGTTTTATGAGAACGAGGTTTTAAATGATTAGTGTTAACAAAGGAAACATAACCTGCTTGGACCACTCTGCCTTCCCTTTTCACAGAGCTAGACTTAAAGGTGAATCCCATTTTCGGACCTACTGTAAGATTAGACTAAAGGAAGGTTTATGTATGGCCTTTTAACATAGGGTATGCATCAAGTTCTTCCTAGTACTCGTGTATTGTAAAGACACAATGCAAATGGCAGCTGCTTTCTTATTGTTTGGAAATGTTGAGGGAAGGGGAATGATTCCCTCAGCACTCTTTGTTTTTGGGGTGTTTCTTTTTCGGTTTGAGGTTTTGCCTGTAAGGATTGAAGCTGGATTCTGACATCATAAATTGGTCCACATTCTGAGTGTTATTTTGAACTTTTAAATAAACAAGTTTAGTTGACTTTGCTACTCTCTGTGTGGTTCCTGATAGTAAATAAAACAAAATTAGCTTTGGCATATCTAGTTACACTACCAGCTTTAGTTTGCAAAGGCAAGATGTCTTTGTGAACTGCAAACAGCCACCTGAGTCCTCCAGGATTGTGGAAGCAGACTGCAAGCTGCATTGAAATTAAAGTTTTGAGTTTAGAAATGTTAAACCACTTCATCCGCAAGCCTACAAAATATGAGACTATCAGTTGGAGTAGCCTGCTCAGCCTATACCTGAAACCAGGGGTCATTTCGTAGAAAAAGAGCTAGGGGGACTCATTAGTATAACTCATTAGCATATGCCACACCCCCTGACATCACCGGAAGTGTGTCCTCCCCACAGCCGGCGGCGACCTCCAGCGGGCACCAGCAGGGAGCTCCAGGCCCCGCCCTCCCGCACCTCACCCGGGGGATGGCGTCCCCCCGCGTCCCCCCCCAAATGACCCCTGCCTGAAACCCTTACTGTACTCAAATCAGTATGCATGCTATAGTTTCACACAAATGCAAAATGTGCTATTAAGCTTTCCGAGAGAGCTTTTAATTAAAAGTTTTCTGTGAATTCTCATTTCTTCTCAAAAGGTCAGTGAAGCCCACCTTCAGGGGGGTTGCAAATCCAGGATAATTTTCTCCATGGAAGCTCTTTCAGTTTTCAGTCAGAGGAAACAGGAGGGTTTTCCCCCCTAACAAATAATTTGTAAAAATATCCAGATAAGATTTCTCCCCCCCCCCCAATATTATTCTGAAAAAGGATTTTGAGACACTTAAAATATTGTTGCTTTAAAAATTCAGAGCCTTGTCTCCGCATCCAGCAGAACAAGAGGATAGGTGGATTATATAGGTAGGGGAATCACATTTTTTAATGTTCCCCTAAGTTTTTTTTTTTTTAAGTAGGCAATGACATAATCAGTATGTATATAGTATGAGTTAAAACTTATCCCTCAATGCTTTTTTAGTGGACATACTGAAAAAAAATTGTATCCTTCACCTGCTGTGGAATAGCCAACCACTGTTCTGTCTGTGTAGATCTGTCCCAGTCTCCTCCCCCTCAGGCCGAGTCTATATAGAGTAGATCATGCCACTTCACACAGCATATTGGGGGGTGGGGAGAGAGCCATGAGTTTTGAGTATTTCCTCACACAGAAAATTCTGGCCATGCTTTAAAAAACATGCCTGAGTACTAGTTGCTTAAAAGGAAGTTTTTGCTTTTAAAAACAGGAAAACATTCCAAAATGAGACTTTCCCCTTCTTTTTGGTTTGAAATGGTATAGCCCATTATGTCATCACTTGATGTTGCATGCAAACATTGGGTGTGTCAGAAGTCAGAGTCCAGGAACTAAGCAGAGCTTCTGGCTGTTAGCCTAAGTGATAGCACTTCAAGATCCCATGATAGGGTTACCACATTTTGAAAAGCAAAAAACAGGGCATCTTTCCCAACTGATTACTTCAAACAAGTGTTCACTATCACAAATCTCATTTTAAACACCCCTACTATTTAAGCTATGTTCAGGGGTCATTTCCTGCAGGAGCGGAGCTCCAGCAGTAAAGAGCCCAGGGGGCGGGCACATGCAACAAGCCCCACCCCCTGCTCCCAGCAGCCCTCAGTCGGAGCAAGAAGCAGCCAGGTAAGTTGCAGAGCCCCCCCGCCCAAAACAGTCCAGTGACACCTTTAAGACCAAGTTTTATTCAGGTAGAAGCTCTCCCTCCTCTGTGAAACAGATCTGCACCTCCCCCCCCCCCCTATAGCTAGCAATCCGAAATGGTCCAGTGGAGCCTGGGCGGTGGGTGTTGCCTTCTGACACACTTCCGGCGATGTCAGGGAGTGTGGCATATGCAAATGAGTTATGCTAATGAGCGCCTGTACCTCTTTTTCTACGAAATGACCCCTGGCTATGATACTATCTAGGAATTTTCCTAACCTTCCAACCCAAAAAGAGGACATAATTTGTTTAAAAAGAGTCCCAAAGAGGATAAAGGTAAAGGTTCCCTTGCTCGAAAGCCAGTCGAGTCCGACTCTAGGGTTGCGGTGCTCATCTCCGTTTCAAAGCCGAAGAGCCAGCATTGTCCGAAGACGTTTCCGTGGTCATGTGGCCGGCTTGACTAAACACCAAGGCGCACGGAACGCTGTTACCTTCCCACTGGAGTGGTACCTATTTACTTGCAATTTCTTGCTTTCCAACTGCTAGGTTGGCAGGAGCTGGAACTAGAGACGGGAGCTCACTCCGTCATGCGGCAACTCGGGTCTCGAACTGCTGAACTACTGACCTTCCACAGCCTGCAGTTCAGCATCTTAACCACTTGAGCCACCGCAGCTCCCCAAAAGGGGATGGACACACACAAAAAGATGACATGTCCTCTTTTAAAAATAGGATATCTGGTAACCCTATCCTATGAACATCACCCCAGGATTTGCAAACCCAGAAATCTTATTCATGTCATAATATAAATAGTTAATAGGTTTTGGATTCATATTTTTTCAGTACAGGCCACGGAGCCCTGTTGGCAATCCACATTTAATAACTGTGACTATACTTTGTATTATGAGTATGTTCCTGACAGGACATATGGGGCACTGGGAGAGTGATATTCTTAGTTGCTGCCCTCTCCCCACATCCTGCCCCTTTCAAGATTTCTAGGAAAAGCTTCTTTATTGTACTGAGTTTCTCCCATCAACTGTGACAAATGGTAAATGGGAATAATTTCCACCATATTCAGCCAGCAGAAGGGGAGATTTCTACCCTTGCCAGTTTGATGTAGTGGTTAGGAGTGCAGACTCTAATCTGGGAGAACTGGGTTTAATTCTCCACTCCACATGTAGCTGCTGGTGTGACCTTGAATCAGTCACAAGTTATTGCAGAGCTGTTCTCTCAGGTGCAGTTCTCAAAGAGCTCTCTCAGCTCCACCTACCTCACAGGGTATCTGTTGTGGGGAGGGAAAGGGGACTAAACTGCTCTGAGACGCCTTTAGGTAGTGAAGTTCAGGGTATAAATCCAATCTCTTTTCTTCTTCTTCTACATCAAAATGCTAATATTCTGCAATGACATTACATACAATGCAAGCTACATATTAAATATCTGAGCCACCTTAAGAATAGGAACCATTTGCAAGTCCTACAAGCTTCTAAGTGTCAGCTTGCTTATATTACTCCATTATAGCCTGGGACTGCAGTCCCTGTTAAATAAGCTTTTTTTACTTCAGCAGTTAAGTATTGCTTTACAGGAGAGGTTTCTGCACAAGTAAAGGAGGTAAATGCCACCTCAGAAGCTTATGCAAAATCAAGTACCCATCTGCCGAAGGGGACACAGGGCAACTGGTACAGCGAAACACGGGTTTTGGAATAATTTGGTGGGCTTTTTTAAAACAGTCGAGACAGCTGTTGCGAAGGCCACATCTGCATTCCAGCTGAGCTTAGCATGCTTCACACTTGTTTCTCCCACTCACATCTGAGAAGGAGTGGAATGCTTATCCTACAGCACACCTGGAAATACCGTTTATACAGTGACCAGTAGTGACCAGCTTTTTAGAAAAGGACACAAAGGGTTGATGAAGTGAAGCTTATGTTCTTTATCGTGTCAACAGGAACAAATTAAAAAAAAAATTCGTGCAAGTCCCAGCATTGCTTTTTAAAGACTAAAGCGAATAAAAATGACCAGCATTGAGAAATTAACTTCTGAACAAACACAACCAATAGTTTCCTTTTTCACCAAGGGAACTGATTTTGTTCCACTTCATTCTCCCATCATCGCTACTAGGGCTGCCAGGACAGTACTCGTGTGAGATATATATACACATATTTCAAACCTACATACAATTTGTCAGTAGGGAAAAAGAAACTGCAGTGGCTCTTAAGTGCACAAACGAAAGTATAATTCACAACAGGGTTAGATTTTGCACAAGAAGCAGGCCTGGGTACATATACAGAAGAAGGCTTTGACAACATTTTGCTGATGTGCTTCTCGGATGGCACCACTTTCTCTTCAGTCTTGTATTACACAGAGGAAACCCAGTTTGTCTGTTTTCCTGCATCAAATACATACTTTATTAAATGCAGAAGTCAAACAGAATGCACATAAGAATATCAAGTTTGAACTGTGAAGTCATCTTGGCAGTAAAGAAAATGAAGCAAATATGTAATTTGATACCCACGAGTGATTCTCAAACAGCGGCTCGGGAGCCACATGTGGGTCTTTGGCATGCACACCCATGGCTTTTCCGAGCACCACTCCCCAATATGACAGCTACCTCATGTTCTCAGAAAGTGGGCCTTGTGGGCCACTCCCAGAGGTGCAGTACCCATGCCAGGGATGAAAGTAAATGTAGCTCTGTGTGAGCTGCAGGCTGAGTACCACTGATAGACACTATTTTCCTGTTTCTACTCAATAGTTCCTGTAGTAGCTGAAGGGATGGGACATAATTCAGACAAGACCACACAGCAATAAAAACCAAAGTCACAAGGGCTGATGTGTACATAGGCTTGCCAGTCCCCTGGCCAGGGCAGGGGGGGGGTCCCTTGTTCCCAGCTCCCCTTGCCCTCTGCCACTTCAAGCACTGGCAGGAAAAAATAAACTGGAAGAGTCATGTGGGCCATGACATCACTTTCAGGGAAAACCTGGAAATGACAGAGGATAGAAGAGAGAGACTGAAGAGAGAGAAGAGATTGAATTTATACCCTGTCCTTCACTTGGAGGCTCAGAGCGGCTTACAAACTCCTTTCCCCTCCTCTCCCCACAATAGACACCCTGTGAGGCAGGTGGGGCTGAGAGAGCTCTTTCGAGAACTGCTCTTTCAAGAACAGCTGTGCCAGAACTATGGCTTGCCCAAGGTCATCCAGCAGCTGCAAGTGGAGAAGTGGGGGATCAAACCCGGTTCTCCCAGATTAGAGTCCGTGCACTTAAACACTACACCAAACTGGCTCTCTAGGAATAAGGCAGCTCTAGGAATCCCTGGAAATGAATTACCCAATATCAAATATCTTGG